AGTTCACGGATCTCAAAATTAATACTCATGTGGATTTTAAAATTCAAACTTATATTATCATCATCTTTTGAAAATTGAATAATATATTGTAGGCAAGATAGTTTTAAACTAATTAATAATTTAATTATTATCTTAAATATTTTAGATATCATTTAGTTTTATCACCCAAATTAATTTCAAATTGAAAATTAATTCTATCACCTAAATTAGTCCGTTTAAGCCTTTTACTTTATAGTTTATATAGATAGCATTTTTAAAAGAAAATGGATTAATTTGTCTTCATCACCCAAATTAAATTTAGATTGAAAATTAATTTATCACCTAAATTAGTCCATTTAGGCCTTTATCACTTAGAACGGTGAGATTGTTATTTGGTTTTGTCACCCAAATTAATTTTAGAAATGAGTCTATTTAGGACTTTAGTTTATAGTTTATATAGATAACATTTTTAGAAGATATTAAATTAATTTGCCTTTTCACATCCCAAACACTAAAATGGAGTCCATTTTCACGCCACTACCACTCACCACTACCCCAGCTTTCCTGTTTGTTCACCCTAAATTTTGTGAAATCTTCCTAAAACTGATGGAAAATCCCGCTCGCTTAGAAAAAATATTGGCGGTAAATTCTCTCCCAATATATCCCTATTTCAATTTGTGGCAGTTATATTTTGGAAGGTGCAAAGATAGAAGGAATCCATTTGAGAGTCGGAATGACCAAAAACGGTATCTCAATCTCTACGAATTTGCTTATGCTTTCAGTAAATTTTATGGATTTCCAGTAATTAAGAATGATAACAAATTCTATTGAACTGCTACTTAGCTTCTATGGATTTAATTAATTTTAGATTTGTTTTCTTATTATTTGTGATGCCTATTTTCATTATTTTCATATGTACATTGGAGTAAGAATTCGATCATTATACAAAATACCAATCTTTTCTAGTTTTATGATGTTTGCAATATTTTTTTTTTTTTCACGAGTCTGACTTTTGTTTGGTACAAT